AAACAGACTTTGCTTCTGGCAGAATTTCTCCTTCACGTTCCACCAATAAAGCAATTTGCCAGTGGGGAGGGGGAGGAGGAATCTGATAGCCAGCAAGATTTCTATCGGAATAGCCAGGACGAAGATGCTACTCCTAAGTGATCCTTGGGGAGGCATGTCACACCCCCATAGGATTCTGCTGGAATTACATAACACTGTGGCAAGTAAGGATAAAACAAAATTGTCCCACAAAATAATTGTCTCGCAATGGACAATCACATAGAAAGGCAGAAGAAGCAATAAAACACAATGTTTACAAAAATTAAGTGTTACGAACCAGTTTCCATAAAGAGCCTGGACATGGCCTGCAATTCTGTATAAAGACTGTAGAACTGATTCAAAGAGTTTATTTCCTATGATCTTTAAATTAGTTACCAAAATAGTTTAGTACAACATTTGATTTCAAGCAGAGTATTACTCCCCCATAATTTAAATGTGTGTGTGTTTTTAAAAAGTTCACATATTTTAAACTAAGGAACTTTCTTTAAGACTGAGGCGTATTTCCTGGTTGTGGAGACCAGGATCTGCCCCATGGCACAGACATTCAGAGGCTACAACCAAACAACACGACCACAAGAGTCAGCCAGCAGTGTCTCTCCATACAAGAAAAAAAAAAGCCAATTATGTGTTTTTACAAAAAAATTCCAAAAACAAAAAACAAGATACTAGTACAATATACACATTGAAAGAAAGCAGTTTTACCAAACATAAAAGTTAATTAAAAAACACTAAACAGAGCTGCACTTTGAGATTACCTGGGAATGCATATTTACCCCTCCCAAATGTGGGAGGGTGGAATCGTGGAAGCAAATCTATCAATGTCCTTGCATTAAGTATGAAAACACTTTGGAGGAAAAACCTGATAGTGAATAGCTGGATTACTCTTATGAAAAACAAGGATTGCTAGAGTTTCCAGTGTTTTTCCAGGCTGGGAAAAGGTGGGATAACTATCACTAAGCAAGCAGAGACTGGTGATAAAGGGAGTGAGATTATAAATCTAAATCTTGCACTTTTACATGTTGATTAAACTCCCGGTGCAAAATGGCAGATTAAAGTCCTTTTGGACTGGGGTTGCTGCTTTTCAAACTCTATTTCTAGAGGCAGTTGTAATGTTTGAACAAGTCAAAGCAAATTGCACTGGGAATTCTACCACGCAGGGACTGTAGGACGATACACTTACTGGATACAAGCTTTAACAAAGCATTTCAAGCCACAAATTTTGTTGAAAGTCAAATCAGATTTAGGTCTAATATTTATGTTTAGAAGCATAATATATAACAAAAGTTTAACACAGAATTAGTGAGTTTGTGCTCACTGTAACATATTCTGGTGAGAGTGCAAATTTATTTGCAAGGGAAATTTTCAGTATGTGTTTTCCTTAATCTGAGCTCTGAAGACAACTTTGCTCAGAGCTGTGGAATTAACTTCACACTGGCCCACACAGCCCAAAAACATGAATGGTTCTCTATCTGCTGCTTGAAACCCAAACAGATTGCTGACAATCTGTGAGAGTTAAAAGTGAAACTAATGAAGTGTGCACCACAGATAGGATTCATTGTGCACAATAAGAGCTGAAAACAGAAGTAGTAGCCTTTGTCACCTGGCTGGTGTAAACAGTTATCTGGTAAGTGCATGTCCAATATTAAAAAGAACTCCTTTAAGAGAAGCCTACATATATAATCTTGGAAGGATATACACCATCTGTATGAAAGCTGTCTCCTGGAATAACCAGCTGATTAAACAAATTCACAGCCACACTAAAGTGACCCAGGAGAAGCAACTGTGACGCTAACCTAAGGGCACAAGTAGAAGATATTTTCTAAGAAAAGGAAGAACAGCAGTAAGGATATGTCTGCATGGGAGTTTCTATCACTTTCAGTCTGGTGCTTTTAATGACAAAGCTGGATCACCAGCAGCCCTTTCCAATGTATCATGTGACATGGTACAACCCTGCACTGAAATTCCTTGGACTGAACAGAAACTTTATCCCATATAGATGTATGCATCTGCTAAGGAACAGCACAGGGCCAACCATCATAGGTATGTGGGCTGCAGAGAGCAGGTGCACAGAACAAACATGTGATCTCCAAAGAATGCCCTGTGCAGAGGCAGCCCAAGATTAGAATGCCCAGATCAGAACTATTTGCTGTGCAATCAAACCCAGTGCTCTGGCAAAGGAGGCATTCAGGCTTTGCAGAACGCTAAACTGGAGAAGAGTTAAGATGGCAGAAGGGTAGGGAAATGGGACCTTCCTGGTCACAAGGAATGCTTCGGAAGAAATGAAGCACTGGACTCTGAGCACCTCTTCTTGCCTAGCTTTGTGGCATTCACTATAATCTTTCAGAAGCATCGCACTCCCCTGACATCTGTGTACAGAGAATAGTCTAGCATCTTGGATCCACCTTTGCCAGATATTACCCCTACTGCCCTCCTTGCCCCTCGCCTTTTTTCTATCCCAACCCTTGATTCTATCTGTTTCCTGCTCCACATTACGCATTTTGGGAACCTGTCTCTTGCCACTGGGAATATCTGAATACAAAAGTTCCTAAATGCTTGCAAAAAATCCGTTTGCTCTGTGGTTGCAAGCTTGAGATATATTTATTCTGCACAGTCTTTCTACTGCATCTATGCAGAACTTACAAGCTCAGGGAATCTATGTTTCAAGTCAGTATGAACCTTCAAAACTACACAGCTATGCTATGTAAACATCATCAAATCGTTAACCAAACAGAAGCTGAAGCTGAAAGAGGAATGGCCCTAAGCCAAATGACCACTGTTGGTAGCTAGATGGAAATGTATGGCACTCACCACTGAAAAGAGCCCCCCCCTCCCCTCTATCACATCCTACACCCCAATCCCTACACTCTCGTTAGTGCTGCACTAGAGTCCTGCAAAGGGCAAACAGATGGACCCGATCTGAAAGAGTCTGGATTATCTTTTTCTAGCAGCCAGACAAAAGACTTTCCCAAACTATAAGTATAGGACAGACACGGCTGCTTCCTACTGCATTGATAAGCAGTACCATTCATGAACAGGGATCAGCAGGCTACAGGAAGTACTCCTTGTACAGATTTGTTTCTTTCCCTATGCAAGCGCTAAGTATTAGGTCAGGCCTGTGCAACCCGAAACCAAACACTTGCCATGTACTGTGACTGTAATTAGAGAACCACAGCTGCCAGGTGGAGGATATTAAGACAACAGAGCTGTGTTAACGTGCTATCGCAGCTTTAAAACATCTTCAAAACTGTATCTATTTTCATTTAAACAAAGCTTCAAGTATTTAATAAAGAGTAGAATCTACAAAATACAATGAAGGTCCAAAAACAATCTCAATCTAACGACGTTTCCGGGTGTAATGTTCGTTTCAAGTCTTCATCAGAGAAGGACCAATAATAACAGTATGGAGAAATACTGATTTCGAAGGCAATTGCCTGCGATTCATCTCTTAGATATGCCTTACATACCCAAACACCTTACGAAATATGGAATATTGTCTTTTAAATTGTACCTGACTAGTCTGAAGAGTTTAAAAGAAAACGTTGTGCAGTTATTATTGGTCCTTCTCTGATGAACACTTGAAACAAACATTATACCCGGAAATGTCGTTAGATTGAGATTATTTCTGGACCTTCATTGTATTTTGTAGATTCTACTCTTTATTAAATACTTGGAGCTTTGTTTAAATGAAAATAGATATGGTTGTGAAGATGCTTTAGTGTTGTGATAGCACGTTACACAGCTCTGATGTATTGTGACTGGTCAGGAGTTTGGCCAACACCATGTTTCTGCAGGCAAGAAAGACAGGAGATACATTCCGCCCCTAGTGGAACACCATATGTGGCTGGTAGGCTGCACAGAGTTTGGTGGGTCATAAGCTATGCAGGCTTGTATCAAGCCAGCTAAAAACATTGTGAAGGACCCACCTTTCACCATTCAAGCAGAGCCTATCCAATCCTTCACCTTTACCAAGCAACGTGACAAAAAACAGCAGGTCATTCCAAAGTGGCTGTCATCACCTCTCCTCTGTGCTTTTACCTGCCACTCAGAATTGATTCCACGTACATGTCACATGACTCTGAAGCACATCTCTATTGCCAAGAGAAGCTGAAATGCCAGATCTAATCTTCCTTCTTACAAAATTCCACCTGGTGATGCTAGTGAAGCCTCTAAAACCTAAAGCTTCACAAATAAGTAATGTTTTTGAGAAAATTATATCGTGATCATTGGCTGACCTTGCTGACTCATTTTCAGATTCACCTTCCTTCCCTAAACCCCTTCCATTATTGTAGTAGAAACCTAGAAATATGTAAAAAAGTCTTTTAAAATGTGAACTTTGTATTTTAAAACAGGTAAGCAAAGTTCCTTGTACTTCCTGAAGGCTGACAAGAGTTCCAGACGAGTGAAGCTCTGGACAGGCAAGGATTTCAAAGGGGCTTCTATTATTGAGAACTAATGAGGTGGAACGAGAGTAAAACAGGTGCTTTATAAATACTAGAAGGTGATGCAGCAAGACCTGAGGGGAGGGGGGATATCAACCTCATCAGAAATTGTATTTCCATCCTTCTTTTCTCCACAAGTCCAGCTCTTACTTTGGAAAGCATCGGGAAGCCCCTCTTCACCCTCCTCTACATCTCTACCCACAAAAGATTCCAAAAATGGTTATATCTGAAATAGAAAGAGAGAGGGGAAAGAGACTCTCTGAAAATGGCCCTTTGATCTGTATTAAAAACAACTCTAAAAGTCCCTAAGGAGTTAGAATTAGTGTAGGCCAGGTAGGTGGTGGGGGAGATGGGACACCTTTAAATGGGAGATGCAAAGTATTAAAAAGTGCTCTGCAACTAATTTTTGTTTTTATGTATATATATATATATATGTTCATATATATATTCATATAATATATATATATATATATAAAGTTAAAAAGTTCTATGTGATATGCTAAACCAAGCGTCCTAGTAGGGTCACGACTGCAGGGCGTGTGGCCTGTTGGGATGGCAGATGGGGCACTCGCCCTCCTCGGCACACGTTTCACACAGCACAGTGTGTTGGCACGGTAGTACCACCCGGTTCTCTTCCTGGCACTTGAGGCATTTCACTGACTGCATCTGAAACACTGCCTGAAAGAGAAAGCAAGCCAACATGGATTGTCAATGAACACACAACGCTTTGCAACACCCACGACAAAACTGTCTAAGAAATGTGGGACATTTTCCCTTTGTATGGGTCAACTGAGTAGCAGTGGGAAGCCGCCATATGCAATGTCATTTTTAGTCTACCCTTCCTCCAAGGAGATCCAGTGTTTCCCTTGTTTAATTTTATCCTCAAAATAACCTTCTGAGGTCGGTTGGGCTGAGACAGAATGACTGGCCCAAGGTCACTCAATGAATTTCATGGTCGAGTGGAAAGCAAAATCCAGATTTCCTCAGTCCTGATCAAATATATTGGCCACTAGACACACTGGCTTTCAGGGAAATGTAAATAGAGAGGGGGGGGATCCATTAAGGTTTCCCCTCCCTCGCATTAACACCAGCCCCCATGCCTGTCCATGCGTACTGGCAGAAACTTTGCTTGCCTCGTGGCTCTACCAAGCAGGCAGACAAGAAGACTCAGCAAGGCAGCCCTGGCTGAGACTAAACATGCTGTAATTGCTTAATTTCAGCCAACACAACTTCCTCACTACTACAGACCCTGGGAAACACCACATATGCAACTTTCAGCTGGGTCAGTAGGGTGGATTCTGGGGAAATGAGGTGTCATTCCAATACCCCCCCCCCATTCAAACACAATTATTAAGAGTTACAGATGGACCTATGATGGCAGAATACTGGTGAGTGCTATAGGACATTGAACAACTTCTCTTGTACCACGAAAACAATTCTTCCTCCCCCCTCCCCCCCAAAAAAAACTAAGGGGGATGGGGAAGTGCACTATTTCTGTCCTCTGTAAACTCAAATATTTCCCCAAAACTTGAGGAAGACAACTCATTTTTTTCTGAGCTGAATTCCAGATTTGGACCATATCGTGCTGCCAATGATATCACTGAAAATGCAATAAGGACCAAGCACCTCCCGTTTGCGATTCAACCTCCTTCCCCAGCCCCTAAATTATGCCCCCTTTTCTTCCCTCAAAGATCCTCCTGGCCCCATTTAAGGGCTCCAGTACTGAGAATGGTGCAATAACAGTGTCTTCAGTGCCAGGAAACCTAAGGAATGCCCACACTGCAGGTGTCAGGTATTCTGGAAACTACATGTCCCAGAGTTCCTTGTACATGAGATGCTGCTGGTGTAGGTACCAGGGAGGAAGTGCCATCCAGCAACTCACCTGGCAAACCTTTTACAAGATGGTCTGAACTTCCTTAAGTCTATTTGTAAAAATTTGGAGAGGGACTTGTAAACATGTCACTCCTTTTTACGAACTGAAGCACAATCAATAATTATTATGGTTTAATCCTTCCCTGCTACCCCAGAGGATTTCTGGGGAAAAAAACTACCTCCCCCTTCTGAGAATTGAACATTTGTTAGCGCCTAGCCACCCAGATATTAAAAAAACATGTTATTTAGAGTGTAAAACAGTAAATGTGATTAATGGTGAATATTTAACAAAATCTCTCATTTAAACCCACCTTATCAACTCTTTCCAAGTTGGCACGCAGCTGTTTTTGGAGAGTATAGAGTGTGGAAAGGGAGAGGGTCTCTAGGTCAGACAGAGCACGTAGGAACTGGGGGTCCTGGCCAGTGTGGATTCTCTCCATTTCCTCCTGGAGTTTTTTCACTTGCAGTTCCAAGGCCTCCCTCTGCTCTCGGGCTAGCTCACATTCCATAGTTGCTGTGCTGGCACGATCGTTGGCCTCCTCTGCTTCTTTCTTCCAAGCATCACAAGCCTGTGTATCCCAAAGGCAGGGAAATTACCATAAATCCTCAGCTTGCTTCCTCTGGATAATCTATTTCCAGGTATTTGCAATTTGGGAAGGGGGAAATGGGGCTGGGCTGGGAATTCTCCCATCTCCTGCTCTTGCCTACAGACTTCAAAACGTTTCTGAAGGGTTCTATTAAAATATATGAAACAGCTTTCTTATCTGTATGAAGACTCGGAATCATACATGGGTACACCAACATTTCTTTCATTGTTGGATAATTCCTGTCCTAGCAAACACATTGTAGGCCGCACAATACTGTCAAGCCATGTGCACACATCTTGGATTTTTGAGTGTTTCTCCTCCATTTCAAAACTGCCTTTTTACAGTAACTGTCCAAAGTGGTAGACCAGTTTTTGTGTAAACAGGTCCCTTAAGCTAGCAAATTTAAGCACCCTTAATCTCGTAAAATATGTCTCCCTATATATTTCCTGTGTAAGTACATTTCATCATTCTGGCAGCAGAAACAGGAGTTAGGGACGGATGATGGGAAGAACACCAGGGTTAACAAAGACATCAAATACCTAGCCCAGGCATCCACACTTTATGTATTTATTTTATTTTATTGGATTTGTATCCCACCCTCCCCACATAGCAGGCTCAGGGTGGGTTCCAGACATACAGATCTGCAATAATGCAGATTTACGATTAAAACAAATTCATTAATACATTACCTAAACTCACTAAAATCAATAAAACACTAAATGCAAGAATTCCCTACAGATTAAGCCAGCTATAGAGTTGAAACCAGAGAAGTCTGCCAGCCCCACCTCAGGAACGAATTTAGTAAAAACAACTATATAAGCATACATACATACAGATTCAGGACAGACAAAAGGAAGTACTTCTAAACACACAGAACATAGTTAACTTGTGTAACTCACAGGCACAGGATGTGGTGATGGCCACCAACTTGGAAGGCTTTCAAAAAGGAGTGAATTAAGAACCTGGTTAAATGAATCCAAATTAAAGGGCCCAGTATTTAAACAACTGAATATAAGACATGGATACTTATCAAATTTACAAAAATACATGTATTTATTACAAAATAATTTAAAGGCATTTACAAGCCCAAATATAGCCTCAACACAGATTAAAATGATAGTTTTCTCAAAAAAAGACTATGTACGACTGACCAAACACGTTTCGGCCTTATGGCCTTCTTCAGTGGTCAAGCATAGTCATTACAAATTAGATCCAGATATTGCAGTAATATTGCAACAATTACTCAATATGTTTAGGACCAAGTTGGGATTGTTCTGGGGGGGAAAGGAGGATTTCCCCCATAATTAAATTTGATGCAATATTTATAATATTATAGTTATAACATGAAGTAATGTTCAAAATATTTATTTGAAATTACTTACTTCTAACCAATGTCCATGACTCAAGGCAGAGATATAATTAAGAGGCCTCATTTGAAATCACCTTCTGCCGTAGTCAGATACCATATTGCAATGTCTGGAGCTAATGTGTCATAAATGATGCTTAACCCACTGAAGAAGGCCATAAGGCCGAAATACGTTTGGTCAGGGTTACATACAAAACCATGGTCTTTGTTTGAGATAACTCTATGATTTTAGAAGAAAAAGAAGAAGAACAAGAGATTGGATTTATACCCCGCCCTTCACTACCCAAAGGTGTCTCAGAACGGCTTACAAACTCCTTTCCCTTCCCCTCCCCACAACAGACACCCTGGGTGATTTCCCACAAGCGCTATTCCACGCTCACTCCTCCCTTTTGCCCTGATGGTACGTGTCAATTTCACACAAGCTGCTATGCGGCCACATTTTGCCCCGCAGCTTCGCGGGATTTTCCCCACGTCTACTCAATCCTCAAAAAAAACTGGATTGAGTAGACACAAGGAAAATCGCGTGACACATACCATTGGGGCAAAGAGAAGAGTGAGCGCGGAGCAGCGGTTGTGGGAAATCACCCCCTGTGAGGTAGGTGGGGCTGAGAGAGCTCTTGACAGAAACTGCTCTTTTTTAAGAACAGCTCTTATCAGAACTATGGCTTGCCCAAGGTCATCCAGCCAGGTGCAAGTGGAGGAGTGGGGAATCAAACCCGGTTCTCCCAGATTAGAGTCCGCACACTTAACCACTACACCAAACTGGCTCTTTTAATCTGTATTGAGGCTATATTTGGGCCTGTAATTGCTTGTAAATCATTTTGTAATAAATACATGTATTTTTTGTATATTTGATCAATATTCATGTCTTATATTCAGTTGTTTAAATATCGGCCCTTTAATTTGGATTCATTTAACTTTCTAGGCTCTTCATTCATTCTTCTGGGTTAAGTTTTCTCTTACCCCCTCTTTTTGTCCTTTTTAAAAAGGGAACGGACAAATTCACTGCGGTCATGACTATCAAAAGCTACTAGTCATGATGGATATCTACTCCCTCCAGTTCCAGAGGTAGTACACCTCTTTGTATCAGTTGCTGGGGAGCATGTGCAGGAGGATGCTGTTTCATTCATCCTGTTTGCAGGCTTCCTAGAGTCAGCTGGATGGCCACTGTGTGAACATAATGCTGGACTTGTTGGGCCTTTGGTCTCATCCAGCTTGTGTTCATATGTGTACACACAAGGACACACACAGAGAGAGACAGACAGACAGAGAGAGAGAGAGAGAGAGAGAGACAGACAGACAGAAGAACTGCTAGCCAATCTGGCTTAGGGTGAGTGTATGCCAGTCCCACAAAAGGGGCATTTTACCCAGCATTTACTTAAGGTAGCTTGAACTCAGAATATGCCTCTACTTCAAACCACAACTGCTCAGCCACAGGGTGAGTACTGAATTATTTAAACACTGAGCAGAATACTGATATACATAAGCAGGCAGTATGAACAATTAGAAAGATGTACTCAAACAAACTGAAGAACACATCACTTATAGAAGAGTTCAAGAAAGTTTTCTGTTGAACTTTTCAAACTCTATCACAACTTGCAATTTACTTTTCCATGTGTCTACAATACCAGCTGGTTCTTTATTTATTTATTAGTAAATGCATCTTAAATAAAGCTAAGAAAACAATGTGGAGGAACTATGCCACATCCTCCAGTTCTGTTGGTTATCTTGGACTCCAAACTACTTGTCACCACTGCTATCCTAGCAAACCACCCTGTCTCTCCCTGCTACTGCACACTACCTGTTTGGCCTGTTTCCAAGATTCTTCCCACTGTTTTATTGTACTGTTAGCTTCATCTAATTCCTGACGCAGTCTGGCCAGCTCAGCAGCCCCTGGACCCGACAGGAACGCAGGCGAGGTACTAGGCGAAAAACTTCCAGAAGCAAAGTGCTCCCATATACTGCTGTTCATCCCATTTAAACCTGTTTCATGTAGAGACAGAGAAAAGAAGTTACATCACAAATACTTCTTGCTAACCCCTTTCCCTGCATGAAATTCAGGCCCAATCCTTTTCTGGGAAGAGGAATAAAAGGATTCAATCTTCCACAGGATTCATTTGGGGATTCCAGGGAGCAACCTGGTCATGAGACAGGTCTTAGAATAAGGCAGATAGTCTAATGAGACAAGGAATGGCTGCACTGTTGTTCACCTCTTTGGCTGAAGCAGGAGGAATGGTAAGTGTGCCCCATTTAAACAAGAGCAACGTGATACGTGGCATTCTAGTGCAGATACTGATCTATAGAGCTCTGTATTTTACCTCATCAGTGTAGATGGATACAGAATGGGTGCACAGCACAGTGCAGACACCACAATAGAGATAAACATCAGAGTGAATTTAAAACAGGCATGCACAGAACCTCTGGTATAGATGTGGTCTTTATTAAACTACAAAGCTTTTCATGGGCAGTGTTTTTTTTAAAAAAAAAACATGCCACCCATCAACTTTCTTACTTCGTGTGTGAAATTTACTAGGTCTTTCCCCCAAATTTCTTTTTCACAATTTGTCTTTGGCATATACTGCTAAAGAGAGGCTCACAGTTTTCTTTATAATATAACAAATCCATTCAATTTTACCCAAACCAGAACTATTCAATGGAATACTTGATAAACAGTACAATCCTATGCAGAGTTACTCCTACCTAAGCCCACTGAAATCAATGGACAGGCCGAAATAACTTTGCATAGGATTGCGTTGACCATAATTTATTATTATAATGTAGTAATCTACTACTATAATGTGTTAGGTTGCATTTAGTTCTTCAGTATAGAGTGTCCAAAACTGGATCTGCTGATTTCTCAGAAGTCAGTTTGAAGGTCTGCTTTCAAGTGACACCAGAGAAATCTGTCTATGCATCAGATCTTAGAATAAGGCGGAGAATGTAACAAGATGTGCTGGTTAATGTTATTTTTAAAAAAGTTTACACTTATGATGTTTTCTGTCTAAAAATGGGGACCTTGAATACAGTCAGGTACAATTGCAAACATGTGCAGCATCATAACAGAATCCCATTACCCCAAACTAAGGTTGCCAACCTTCTGGTGGGGCCTGGAGATCTCCCAGAATCACAAGTGATCTTCAGGCCACAGAGATTGGTTCCCCTGGAGAAGGTGGCCTGCTGAGGTCCCTCCCCAAATTCCTCCTTCGCCAGGCTCCCCCCCCAAAAAAAATCTCCAGGAATTTCCCAACTCAGAGTTGGCAACCCTGCCCCAAACCCTAGCAAAAAACGCACTGAACAACATACAGACCTCTGTTGTAACTGCTTGTACCAGAGGTCGCAAAATTTTAATGAAAAGATGTGAATAAAGTTTTGGCTTTAGAGAGTAAGGGCGGTTGACAAAATCCATGAAGGAGCAGGGGCTGCCTCTTATCTTTTAAAAAGGACAAAACATTTCCCATGCAAAATCAGACGGGAAGCCTAGAAAAATATTTGCAACCATAACACAGGCATCTTACTAAACATTTTCTACTTCATATTGAATTTAATCAGGATTTGATTTGAGCTCAGAGACCAAGGCTTGCACTATTATTAAATATGGCTGATGTGAACTCGCCCTGATTCTAGTCATAACCTTGCCAGTAACATTTTCACACAATAAACAATGCATTATTAAATGGTTAACTGAAAATACCGTTTCCACTAATCACCAACCTAATGAGAACCAATAATGCAGATAACTTTTATATGGCTAGGCCACACACTCATTAGTTGGAAATCCTGTTATGCATGAAGCACTATGTGATGCAAGAAGAATGCACATACATCTGTGGATGTGCAATCTCTCCCCCACCTTTCTGAGGGGCACAGATTGTCCAAACTGGACATAGACATGCACAAATGTGTACACAAACGGCATTAAAAATTATTTCATATACATGGCTGGAGCAGAGTATATGCATGCTCCCGTTCCCCTGCCATATGCATTTGGGATCCCCAGTTAGTATATGTGAAAACTATCCCCTTAAAAATAAACTGAAATGAGCCTGAAAAGGCTTCCAGTGCATGGACCATGGATTTAGTTTGTAGAAAGCAGGTGATTGCACAGATGTGACAGACAAATGCGATTAAGCACATGAAAATATTTTAAACTTAAAAACAGGTATCTAGTTTTTAAGTCTTTCCACATGCCATCCTCCCTATTGCTTCTTAGTTCCTGTCATGTATCTTAATTAAACTGGAAGCTTCTTTAGCAGAAAAAATAACACACAGTCCGTGCAGTGCTCAAACCATTGTTAAATAACAGTAGCACATTTTTAAGAGGTCTGTTCAGTTACTATAGCTATCCCTCGGTTAGTATCAGTGTATTTTAACTCAATACGTAACGAATGCTCAACCAAGAATTTTATTTTATTGCTATGGCTCAAGAATACATGGTAATGATGAAGTAATGCTTATAAGTATGTGAAGAATGCCTGTTTGAGAGTTAAATACTAATCTGGCCATTCTAGAGCATATTTAATGTGGCTCCAACTGACATCAGGGAAGGAATGCCTTAAAAACAGCCAAAGGCTTAACTTTGAAATGGAGATGCTAGGTCTCAAGTGTGCCAGAACATCACAGCCTCTAAGCACCAGAGAATCCAACCCTAAAAGCAGAAGAACTATTTATGGTGAAGGGAAGTATGCTGAACACATTTAAAGGTAAAGGTTCCCTTGCTCGAAAGCCAGTCGAGTCCGACTCTAGGGTTGTGGTGCTCATCTCCGTTTCAAAGCCGAAGAGCCAGCGCTGTCCGAAGACGTTTCCGTGGTCATGTGGCCAGCATGACTAAACACCAAGGCGCACGGAACGCTGTTACCTTCCCACCGAAGTGGTACCTATTTATCTACTTGCAATTCCTTGCTTTCGAACTGCTAGGTTGGCAGGAGCTCACTCCGTCATGCGGCACCCGGGTCTCGAACTGCTGAACTACCGATTTAATACTTAAAGGTACTCCTGCATAAGCTTCAGGACCTAAAGGAGTACCTTTCCCCGCTGGTCTGTTTGAATATTCATGAACTATGGAGGCCTTGTTATACTTTGAATCACAAGGTTCTTTTAGAGATTATTTAAGTTACTTAGAATATTTGATTTTTAGCATTAACAGTAGCTATAACCAATAACCGTAAACCTGAAAAATCAAATAACCTAAACATATCAGCAGTATTACATATCTGTACCCCCCCCCCCCCCCACACCCCCCGCGTGCCCCGACAAACAAACCTGATCTCAACAGATCCTGGAAGCTAAACCAGACAGCCCTGGTTAGTACTTGGCTAGGAGACCTCCAAGGAAGTCCAGGGTCTCTACGCAAGAGGCAGGCAATGGCAAGCCGCCTCCGGAGGTGTCTTGCTTTGAAAACCCTACAAGGTCATCAATGTCAGCTGTGACTTGATGGCACTTAACATCACACACACACAAACTGTTTCCCTATGAGAGGGACCCTATGGTTGTTGACATGCTATATTTATGGATTTTAATTCTCCTGGGCTGATTTTCTGCCTCGCCTCTTGCTTGGTGTTCTACTTTTGCTGTATGGGGGAAATTCTTTTGGGGCATGGTTTAGGTTTTGTGTGTCCTCCTTTTAGGGGGAGAAGGCATGTTAGGTGGCAACAGAGACATTAAAATGAAAGCTGAAATAAACAGAAAATACTTACATGGTATAGAGAGGTATGTAAAATGTTAACATGTTTACTCTCACAAACACACTGGCCATTTACCTAATGATCCATGAGAGGCTGATGTCCCCAGGAATGTGTTTTCTGATTGGCTTAAGTGTCCCTGGGGCTGATGAAGGAAATGCGATGATAAGCTGACCGGTGGAGAAGGAGAGGCAGAGTGAAAGGAGGCAGAACTTCCAAGGGACCCAGGGATATTTACAGGAGCAGAACTTTGCAGCAAACTCCCACCTGGACAAAGAACACACAGAAAGGATGGGAATGTAGAAGCCATGAGTTATGAGTGGAAGCACAGCACAGGAATCTGAACAGCAGGCATTTGCTTCTCTCTAGCTCTGCATCAGGAAAGGATGGGGGAGTCCACACTCATCTTCTGCTTTGGGGAGGAACATTATGGGAACTGTTCCACAGGCCAAGGAAGGTAGTATGGAAACTTAGTTGGATGCTTGCTGTGCAAAACATGGTATTTGGGAAAGAGCAACCTCTGCTTAATGCATGAAGGATTTTTCGGAGACTAAAAGACTGTCATAAGAGAACTTAAATGACTTTTTGCATTTTTTTGTCTCCACAACAACAATACCCTAACCTATATTATGCATATTTAAATGTAACTCTGACACTATTTTCTACTACAAATATATCTCTGATTGCTACATTTCTCTATAGCAAAAAAGGTCTCTAGATAAAGTGAAAATGGGCATCTAAGACTGTGTTCATAGGAAGAGGAAACACAGTATCAGATTATTTGAACTGACTACATTTTCAAGGACCATGATCTGAATTGAAAATGGCTTCTTTCCATTATACAGCTTTCCAAGCATGTCCTTGCAAATTCAAACAGTCCCATGTGTTAGGGATAAGAAGTGTGGTCTCAATGTCACTTGAAAAGTGTTCAGTTTGCTTTGTAAGATTCAAAGGCTTTGCATCAAGGGAAAAGCCATATATCAAATAGGGGGAAAGTATTAATTTAAGGTGTCCCAGCAAATCAGATCCGTTATCAATACTTTAATTATTTATCCTATATCCACACAAGAATAAAAAAGCAGAGGAAATCACATCAGCATCTGAAGTACAAAGAAGTCCAGAAAAGTGCATGGCACTGCACAGGAATCAAACCCACTGTCATGAAATTGGCTGGCTTTGAAAGAGTCATGAGAATATCAGAATTAAATCTTTGTTTAAACTCAAATTTTTATTCTTTGTGCTTATAAACCTTGGAAATGGATAGCCACACCAAAGAAAGTTAAGAAATCAAAGTGGGCCCAGGGTGGCTATGGGAGGAATGCCTATGTGCCGTGTCCTTCGGGCATGGAATAGTTGCAATTTTGCACAGAAGCAACTGGAACATCACACTACTCATCTCTACCATGCTTCTTCTCTCCCTTAGTCAACTAGATGGGGCTGTAGTAGGAGGACGTGGTACGCCATGACAACATAATCCAAGTTCTGCATCACTTTACTGATCAGTGGAGTGTAATCTCTAAATATGCTTCCTTTTAAAAAAGCCAGTTGGCTACCACTACAGGAGAACCAAGCCCATGTCTACTCTACAGTAGGAGAAGCACAACTTGGGTCCCATTCTGACTCATCTGACTTGTTCAGTCTGCACTATGAACAGCAGCCACGTCATCTCAGCTGCTTCTAAATTGTTTTTAGCCAGAATCACCATAAATGTGATATCACAGCACAGGTGTCACATGCTGAATTCTACTTCTTTAAAGAGGAACCTATTTTTATGAAAGCGGAATGTGTCACTTGAGGAGTGAATAGCAGCAGGCTATTTGACTTATGTAACTGCACAAACATGAAACAATATTGGGGAAAGACATGGTGAAATGGAACTGTGTGTGGACAGATGACCATTGCAAAAGAGTTCCACAGTGGTCTGAAATGTCTGACACTGTACCAAGGAAGACTGGGTTTAAGCTGATGGATATGGCCTTAAGAAACCAACCTTCTAAGCAACAGTGAGTAGCTGTTCTGAACCCACCAATTTGTTAATGGCTTTACTTCACACACAAGAATCTGTGTCATTGAATAGAGAGATTCTTGTAACGGGCACAGTAAATCTGTAAGGACTATTTTCACCTGGACAACCAGAGACAGGAAAAAAAATGAATGCTGGTTTAAAATGGCCACGTACAAAATGATGAAATACATATGTGGTAGTTTGTCAATGAGCAGCTATAATGCCTTGCCATGGTCCTGTGACAGCAAAACAATGTTACCAGTCCAATTGGTTTCCCATTATTTTTCAAAAAATAAGGGGTTCCCCTCATGAAATGCACACTCATAATTTTGTGAACATGTTTAGTTTGTCACTGTTAAGGTACTATAAAGCAAAATAAGCCATGCCTGTACCATAAACATAACTGGGATGTATGAAACCAATGGAAGATATTTCCAATCTGCTAGCCAATGAGAGGGCCCTTCAGCTTCAAAATCTCTCATTGGCTGCTGATAGACACATAATAGGGTTGGTTTTGTGAGCTTGTTAGGCTGCTTCAGCCAGCTGATGGGGCAAACCCTGCTTGGCAGAAGATCAAAGAAAGCTCTGTTGCTTTCATGTACCTATCATGATGCCACTCGTGTGGGGCACCGAGCTGCTGTCAAATGTCTTCTCCAGGGCAGCCACTCCGAATTCGTTCAGGTCCAGGTCATCCAAGGCAGACTCTGCCAGACAGAGGCACCAATTATATGTTACAAAAAGGACCAACAACTTCAAGTGACAGGGAAGCCCAAACAGCCTACATGCAGAGATGCCACTGCTCTGGACTGCAGAATCTACAGGGCCCTGTTCCCCCCGTGCATTGCTGCTATCGTCAAGTTAGCTTTTCATATCACTTTCTGTTGCCTACTTTGAATCTTAATGACTTTCAGCGTCAGGTTCTTCCCAAAAATTATACATCAGAAATAACAGCAATGTGAAACACGTCACTCTGCAGCTCCTGTTGTTCAGTTCATCTTTTGAGTAGAAGAATATCCAGAGATATTTTCATGACCAGTGAAGTAGGCAGCTGCCCATTTCAGTCACTTAGTAAACTTAGTGTTCAGGAGGAATTGCCACAGTGCATGGAATGTTTCACTTTCAGGAATTCCACAGTGCAGGAGTGACTTGGGTTGCAATTCTGTGACAGAAAAGATGGGCAGAGTAGGAATGAGGTTCAGATATGGTAGTGGAAAGAAGAGGATTGTGTGTGGCAGTCAGGCAAGGAGGGAGGAACGGGAAATGGATTAGCAAAATCTGGCAAGCAGGCAACAGCCAGTGGTGGCCCAACAATGGGTCAGCAATAGCATGGACATTGCCAGTTGGGGATGAGATGGAGCAAGCCTGCACAGGAAGGGTCTCTCCCAATGCTATTCCTAACCAGTTTGCCCCACGAAAGACAGTGTTGTCTCAAAAAGGATAGGATGGCTCACATTTATGTTATTTCAGAAACTGGGGGTTATAAAATCTCCATAAACACTCTCTCAATTAACACTCTCCAATTCCTTTTCCATAATTTTCATTCCTTCGCTTTGGTTTGTCAGAAAGGTTATTTTGGGGGTATTTTGACATATACTCAAAAGGACTGCTAGTCTCCTCAAGAACTTCCTGTAGAATCCCTATTTGAAAATTTAAGAAGCACAGTGTCAGGAGCTCAATAAATGATGCCCCCCCCAAACACCTATTTGTTTGCTTGCTTAAGACCGTGGTCCTTCTGGGACAGGATTATATCAGAAGCAGTTCTTAATATGCCTAGAGAATAAGAGGCCAGCATCAAGCAGGGATATCTTAAAGAGGAAATAAAATTGTGCCAAGGAAGGGGGAAAAAGCAAGAGAGGTCTGCCCTGCACAATCTGGACTCTTACTCTCCTTGAGAATTCTTGAGAAAGCTGGAGGACAGAGATTCATAAATAATGTATCACTTTTGAAGAAGAAAAGCACAAATAAGGTTCATATAAAGGCCTACACAAGTTGGATACATCCTGGACTGGTCTATTGTAGTGGCACTTTGGAACAATTTTGAGATTTGTGAATTCAACAAGCATGGGGTAAGATGAAATACAACAGGCAGATTGTTCAGTTCTCATCAGAGAAAAGTCAGGAGCAATCATAATCTTCCATTCACAGTCTTACCACATTATAACAGAATTTACATCTTTTGAAATGAGCAAAGGTAACTCCTGTGTTCTTTGGGAAGAATTGAGACTATAGCACGTATTGCACTGCCTGTTGAGAGCTGAAGCTAGGGAAAAGTTTCTTTTGCCTTTATTTTCTCTAATTCCAGAGTCTAGTATGGCTATTGAATCTAAGATTAATTGACTTCTTTCAGATTCTGATTTCAATGTTACCTCTTGTACGGTAAAGTTTTTTGCAACTCTATATTGATTGTATCATTTCTCTGTTGTAGCTGATGTGGCTTTTAACAGTATAATTTAAAGTATTTGTCTAGAAGGGAAACATGGATTTTACAAAAAGAACCTCTAACATGCTCCTCCTGCTCCTATGCCTTGATATCCCTTTTCTGAGGGCCCAGAAATAAGTGTGCACAAATGATATTACCTATCACAGACTCCACTGTGTCACTGGTTGGGTAGAATGGAAGGGCATTGGCATTCATGCCGGGGACACTGCTGGTGCCAGCTGGACTTGGGGGTGTTGCTGCCAAGCTAGAGGTGATACTAGAGGAGATGCTAGATGTCAATGGGCTCCCAACAGGAAGAATCCCCAATATATCCTGAAAGAGGAACAAGTATTTATGCATTGGATAATTCATGATAAATACATGCCAGCAAGAAACACATATGAACAAGGTTATAAACAGTGTAATGAAAAGCATGTTTCCATTAGGGATTGAAAACATAGAATGTTTAAACTTTCTATACATATGCTAAAGCTTTGGTGCATATTTGGGGGTCTTTGAGGACCGCTCACAAACTTTCAGCTGCATCAGGCCGGAGCCTGATGGACAGAGGCCGACAGCGAGCATGCGTGGACGTGCGCTCGGCCCAGACTCGAAGGTGTCGCAACAGCCAGGAAGTCGTAAATCAAGACCAGCGCCAGGAGGATGTCGCCCGCAGACAACAGGAAAAACAACTCGCTACAAAGGGTGCCTGGTAGGTTAGTCACCCCCCCCCCCATATGTGGCCCTAGGTTAGGACTTGTACTGATTAAATATGTGACCCGCCGAACCGCTCAGAGCCCTCAGGGGGTGAGCGGTATACAAATGGAAGGATAAATAAATAAATAAATATCATAGGCTCATGTTATGTACAACCCCACCACACATTCAAAATTTTAAAAAGATGCTGTGGACTATCAGTGGCCCAAGCCAGCTTTATGATTATAATTTGGAAGCATATCTATACCTACATCCCACCAATTCTTTGCACAAACCTGAATACAGACTGGTTAAGAGTCTCCTTCACTTAAACACGTAAAGAGTCCATGCCACGACCACCTAGCAACATTAACAAGAGGGTTTTTTTTGGAATAACTTACTTGTTTGGGCTGTAATAGAGGCTGTTCTTGGGATCTGTGCTCCATGGAATGGGACTTTATTTTTGACTGCTGCAGTAAACATAACAAAGATAAGCAAGTGGGAAGAGGGCCAAAATTTGAAATACCCAACTGCTAAATTTACTTAGACCATGAAGATTTTGTTTATTTATAAACCGACCTTTCCCCCAGAAAATTGGAATTCAAGGTAGGTAACAAAATGAAGCAATCTACATCATCAACAAATAATAAACAGAAAAATAAGAGCAACTTCAGCATCTAAAACTATTCTCAACAGAGAAGTCAGCATACAAAAACAATATCCTCCTAAAAGTCCTGGACTAAAATTGGCAACCAATGGAGAGATCACAGAATGGGAGTAGTACGCTCCCAGCGGTTAGCTCAAGAGAGCAAAGAAACTACTGCATTTTGTGCCAATTAAACATTTGGATCCAGATTAAATTTTCCGCAAATGGAAAGAAGTGGGGTAATTTCCACGAAATTCCCTTTTTCCTGTTGCAATTCCATGATTGCCTCTCAAGCTGTTCCTGAGGATTTCCTGTTCTTCAAGAGCAGCATTTCGGGGAGATCAGTGGGATGCAGTGGCACAGTGGGAGGCAGGAACATCTTATTCCACTAACAGAAGTGCCTTTCATGAGCAGAAAATCTAGTCTGGATCTAACACAAAGTTTCTGAATAGTCTTCAAGGACAGCCTCACATGGAGCATGCTACAAAAGTTAAACACAATCAAGGTTCCTGTCGTATGGATCAGCTTGGCCAGATTGGTTGTCTCCAAGCAGGAGAAAAGCTTTTGGGATATATACAGCTGGGAAATGCACTTTAGCCGCCTGATTTGCTTTGTTAACAGAGTAAAATATAACAGTACTCTTAAACTCAAAAAAGCTGCACCCATCTGATGTATAATCCCTTCAAGGACAGTCCAAGGACAGTCAAGGACAACCAACCAACCAACATCACTTCTGTACTGTTAGGATTCAGTTTCAGTTTACTCTCCCTCAGCCATCTGACTGTGGCAGTACGGCACTGGCCCAAGATGGCGGCATCTGGAGGCTTATTTAATAAGACATGTACCGATGACACCCAACTCCAAAGCTACACTCTCACTGAGGGATCACATATAAACCCTGAATCCCAAAGGAGAGAGCATGGGACCCTGCAATACTCCCCAGAATAAGTCCCACAATGCTGATTTTCATCCCTTGCAACCAACTTCTGATTACAGTTGGTTAGAAAAGACTCGAACTATCATAAGGCTAAATCTGCAGTCCCCTTCCCCTCGTTTCATACTCTACACCCCTCAACAGCAGTGAATGATCAACTGTATTGAAAGTGGCAGAGAAATCAAATAAAACTAACAGGGATGCACTCATCTTATTCATTTGTAAACAGAGACTCTACACCAAGGTTAGCAAAAGCCATTTCTGTCTTGCAGAACTTACTCTTCTATGGTGTGCCCAAACTAAGATCAAGACTCATAAGAACATGTTAGGGGAAAAAAAAGATTTCCCAGTGCACAGAATACAGATAAATAATGTAATCTTACGCACACTCACTTAGGAGTACATCATATCAAAATCAGCAGAACTTC